GTGTGTGTGTGTGAGAGAGAGTGTGTGTGTGTGAGAGAGAGAGAGTGTGTGTGTGTGTGTGTGTGTGTAAGACACTTATAGCCCAGTCCCTGTGTCTTCCAGCCGACATCACTCTACACAACTCCAAGCCATTGGCTAGACAAGTTCATCAAGGACTTTCTCCAGCCCAGCGAAGACTTCCTTGCTCAGATCAGGAGGGCAGTCGACATTATCTGCACATTCCTTAAAGAAAAGTGCTTTCAACACTCAGCCGATCAGATCAAGATTCAGAAGATCATCAAGGTGTGGACTCGCCGGGTACTGGGAGGGCTGGCACTAGGTGGGGGAGATGGGTTACTGGAATAACGCAGTGTTGCTGACTTCCACCGCCAGAACCCTGAGGACAAGGGGTAATGAAGGAAAGCCAAGATGTTTAAGCACTGGGGATACTGGTCCCCAGCAGGGAGGGGTACTGATAGACCACCTAGTCCACCAACAGCATTCTGTGGATCCTGGAGATCCTTGACACTCCCTAGCTTGCACATCCCTCCTGTATCCGCCTCTGTCTTCACATCTCTCCCTCTCTCCTTCTATTAGGACACTTATCATTGGGTTTAGGGCCCACTCTAATCCAAGATTATCTCCCGATTCCCACTCAAATGACATTTGCAAAGAACAAACAAGGTCTTTGTCAAGCCCCATAAGATCTCATTTATGGATGCCCGGTGAAATTATCTCTGGAAATACATCATAGGTTGAGTTATGCTCCTCAAAAACAGAGACATGATAAATCCTAAACTCTATTTATCACCTCTCCCCACCCCGAGGAACCCTGGTGGCCTGATGTGTATGTAATGTGTCTAAACCAAAGGGTAGAAGTGACATCCCACCAGTGGCTCCTTGGGACATAGATGGGCAGAGGAGAAGTGGAAGAAGAGGAAAGAGAAGGGGAGGGGACGAGGAGAAAGGAAGAATAGGAAGGAGTACAGAAATGGGGGAGAAGGGGGCGGTAATGAAAAGACATGGGGTGAGAAGAGAAGACGGGGAGGAAAAGAAAGAGAGGAGGTAGACAGAAAGAGGGTGAGAGCAGAAGAAGAGAAAGGGGAAGGAGCGAGGAACAGGGAATGAAGACGAGAGAGAAACAGGAGGAGAAGGAAGCAAAATAGGAGAAGAGCAGAGGAAAGGAGTGGAGGCCACACAGACACACAGGAGGCCTGCAAAGCTAAAATACTACCTGCTGCTAACAGGAAAAAGCATGTTGACCTTTGCACCTGAATTATGAATAGCTTCCAAACAGGAGAAAACCAATACATCAGAGCACAGATAAAGTTCTGAAGAGCAATGGTGTCTCTCTGGAGACTAAGGTGTGTCTGATGCAGGCCATGATCTTTGCAATCACTTGTTATGCATCAGAGAGTTCGGCAGTGACTAGAGAGGATAGAAGGATAATTGATGCCTTTGAGCTGTGGTGCTGGAGAAGAGTATTGAGGGTACCATAGACTGCTAGGAAAACAAACAGATTCATCCTGGAAAGGGTTAAACCGGGCTGCTCCTTGGAGGCAAGGATTCTGAGGCTTCGTCTAACATACTTTGGACATGTTGTAAGGAGGGACTGATTCTTGGAGAAGGACATCATGCTTGGGAGGGTGGAGGGACAGCACAGGAGAGGAAGGCCCTCTATGAGGTGGATTGATTCAGTGACTGGGATAATCGGGATGGGAGTGTCAGAGACAGTGTGATTGGCACAGGACAGAGCAGAGTTTAGGGCTGTTGTACATAGAGTAGTTATGAATCACAAGTGACTTGACAGCACATAACAACAACAACAGTAGCATCTTGGAACAAAGGCTGTTGATCCACTCATGGAAAACCCTTATGGAATGCAATCCTCCTCTGACACCCGTGGGGGCAGCGAGAGTCAGAATCGAGTGGATGACAACCACTGGAGGTGGGGACCACAGGGTAGGAGATGTTCTCATCCAGCTCCCTTTTTACCACAGGGGGGATCAACTGCCAAAGGCACAGCTCTGAAGACCGGTTCTGACGCTGACCTTGTCCTGTTCCCCAACTCGCTGAAAGGCTTTCCCTACCAAAAATACAGACGACATGAAATCATTGAGGAAATCCATAGGCAACTGAAAGCCTGCCAGCAGACGGGGAGCTTTGAAGTGGACGTGGAGATCTCCAAGTGGAAGGCTCCCAGAGTGTTAAGCTTCTCTCTGAAATCCAGAGAGCTGAAGGAAAGTGTCGAGTTTGATGTCCTGCCCGCCTTTAATGTCCTAGGTGAGTCTCCCCAGGCCGTAGCTTCTGGAGTAGGAGGACAGACTCCAAACATGGCTGTGGGAAAGGATGGACAGAAAAGCAGCTGGTGACGGACGAGCTGAAAAAAATTTATACGCTAGAAAACCAGAGGAACTAGATGGTGCTCGACTATCACCGCTGAATAGTCTGATCAGCAACATAATGCAGAAATCATTATGGGAGCTATGGAAAAGAACTCCAAATTCTTAAAGAATCCAGACACACCAGATCTATTGATTCTGGAGTAGTCTCTGAGACTGCAACTCTGAGTTGCTGTCTTTTAATTCTCTCTCTCTCTCTCTCTCTCTCTCTCTCTCTCTCTCTCTCTCTCTCTCTCACACACACACACACACACACACACAAACACATACAGAGAGAGAGATTAGTAAACTTTTTCTATAAAGGGTCAGACAGTAACAATTCTGAGTTATTTGGGTTGTCTGATCTGTAATGCAACTACTTGGCTTTGCTCTGGTGCAGGAAAGCAGCAGGAGATAGGTTGTCAACAAATGGCTATGTTTATGTTCCAATAAAACTTTATTTATAAAAACAAGCAATGGGCCAGATTTGAACCCTAGTCACTCACTAGCTGACTGCAGTCTGTCATTCCAATGTATCAATACAGTTCAAAGTCGTTCCCATGAACTAAATGTGTCAAAAATCACTTCCAATCTGCTCGTTATCACACATTTGAAGGTATCATGATGTCAACGTCTCTTCCGTGATAGGCCAACGGGTCTCCGGCTCTGCCCCCAGCCCCAGCGTCTATGCTGAGCTCATCCGTCAGTTTGAATCCCCAGAATACGTAGAGGGAGAATTTTCCTCCTGCTTCACCGAGCTGCAGCGAGATTTCATCGGCTCTCGTCCCACCAAGGTGAAGAGTTTAATCCGCCTGGTGAAACACTGGTACAAGCAGGTATGACAGTCCTTGTTCAAAGCACTGTGACCATTGAATCCATGTCCGTGAAACGTGAACCCATAGCCTCTCCTGCTGGGGGACTACCTGCTTCAGGGAATCTGCTTGCTTCTTAACCCCAGGGATCTCTGCATGACCATCACTAACTATTAAATCAAGCTTAGAATCTCTAACTTCAAGGCCACTACTGCTGCTGCTGCTACTGTTCCTGTTATTATTGTGGCTATTGGTAGCAGCCTATACTTAAGATAACTCCATCCATAACAGAACACGATTTACCATCTCCATGATTAGTTGCAGATCAGAGAGTGTATTGTTCCCATCTATAGGATTTTCATTGGCTGGGTGTTTTTTAGAGTAGATTGCCAGCACTTTCTTCCTAGTCTGGAACCTAGCTCTTTAACTAGAAGCTCTGATGAAACCTGTTTCATTTCATCGCAACACACAAGCCTCCAATGGCCAACTGGTAGTGGTGGCGATGGTGCCTGAGATGCACTGGCCAGGCATAGAAACCTGGACCTCCCAAACAAAAGGAAAGAATTCTACCACTGAACCACCCAGCAATGCCCTGTCTAGGTGGTTCCCTTTGCCCTGACATGGGCCAGGGTCTAGGTTGTGTGTATCAAAGGGCAGCTGGAGGTTGAGATTCACAAGGTTTGTTTGGTTTGGTCTTTTTTAAAACCACACACATTTACCAGTGTGGTTTACAGGGGCTCAGTGGCTATCATCACTAGATGCTGATGCTTCCTTGGTCTCCAACTGGGACCCGGGACTCTTTTATGATGCAGGATAACGTCTCTCCACCTACTCCAGTTGACCTGCACAGAGAAGCTTAGGGCATTATCACCAGAGCAGACTCGTCACACACACCACCAGGTGCTTGCTGAATTGTCCAGACGTGGAGACTCAGTCTGTGGTTTCATTCCCAGAAAAGCATGCAAGAGGCCAGTGCATGTGCTCAAGGGCCCAGCGCCACTGTGGACCATGGTGCCCATCATGCCACCGTCCCAAAGCTGAAAGAGGGATCCCAGAACCTGCTCTGCAGGATTGGATTTGGAATGAAGCCAATGAAATGCCTGCCACCTTAATGAATGCACACTGGGTTGGTCTTTTAGAAATAGGTTTTCTTTTTGTTGTTGAGAATCTGCACAGCAGAACATATGACAGTTCAGCAATTCCTTCATGTTCAGGGCACTGGCACTGATATATTCTTTGAGTTCTACAAGCTTTTTCCTTAGCTTTTTGCAAGGTTTTCCTCCTCATTAGCTTACTTGCATAGCCCCTGAAGGTTCCTATCAAATCTCTCGAGTTGCTGTTTGAATTCAATCCCGTTGAGAAAGATCTTTAAATAGCTCCTTGCTAGAGACAGAGATTCTTTGCTCCTTAAACTATTGTCTGGTTTTAAGAAGACTTCAGGGGAAAGGCAATACACAATAAGGGACTCATTAGACATCGTGATTTATGAATTCTATTAATCAGTGGCAGTTCATGCTATAAAGTAAAACACCTATGAATGGTTGTGTGAACAACCAGTATGATTTGTAAACCTTCAGTCAAGTAAAAATGAACCACCTAATTAATTTTTTAAGGTAAAAAAAGACTTCAGGAAATTTTTGAGGTTTAAAATTTAAAGATGATCTCAGGGGAAGAGTTTCAGGAATTTATCCAGCCTCCATGGATCCAGAAAGTCTGGATTCCATGAGAATTTGAAATTCTTTTCTGCATTTCCTCTCTTCTTCTTGTTGTTGCTAGATGTTGTCGACTCAAGTGTGACTCATAATGACTCTATGAAAAACAGACCTGAATCTTATTTATTTATATATATATAACTAGAACATCTTAAATTTTTAATCCTTTCTTTACAGGTTACCTAGATTAAGAAAACCGTAGAAAGTTAGTAACTGTCACAAGCAGAAGCCAAGTGGTGGCATGGTCAATTCTCCACAGAGTCCTGCTTTGTGGGGGTCTGAATACACTGCTGGGGTCTCAGCTCACACTCTCTGGGTCAATCTCTGCAGATTTTAGTCCACTGGTGACTTTCCCCCATATTTCTTTGTAAACTCCTCAGCTTTCTTACAGAATTTTTTTTACAATCCTTGGAGCATTCTTTGGCTAGGTCAACCCGGAGAGTATGTTCAGGCTGGGGGCTGTTCACCAGTGCTGTGATGGACTGGATCACTTGGTCAGTCTTGGTGGCTGGCTTCCAGTTTTCAGCACTAATTACTGGGAGATGGATCTGTCCCTTTTCATCCCTGTTCAGGTGGTAGATCTTAATTTTGAATGTGATCTTCGGTGGTTTGGACGGATACCATGCTGGGAAGTTTATTTTTATTCTGATGGCCCCCTTGTTGTATGAAGGCTTATCAGGAACAATAAGCCCTTGCCGGGTCAATAAATGAGCTTTGTCAACCTGGATGTTACAGAAGTTTTTCATCCCACATTTGGGGATTTCTTCAAGCTCCTTCATCAGCCTCCTGCTGGCCGTCTCCTGGATTGGGTGCTGCCGCTGTCCCCCTGAATCTTATTTTCTCTTATCCTGTGCCGTCCTCATCATCTCTGACATGCTTCAGCCCATTGCTCTAGTGACCATGTCCATCCATCTCATTGGGAATCTTCCTCTATTTTGCTGACCGTCCACCTTTCTAGGTGTGGTATTCCTTTCTAAAGAATGACCTCTCCTAACAACATCCAAAAAAAAAATGCCCAAAATATGTGAGCCAAAACGTCACTATCTTTGCCTCCAAGGAGCACTCTGGTTGTGCTTTCTCCAAGACTTATCTGTTTTGGTTTTTTGTTTGATTGTTTGTTTTTGGTGTTTGTTTTGGGGTTTTTTTTGGCAGCCCATGGGATAGTCAGTACTCCTCTCCAACACCACAACTCAAAGGCATCACTTCTTCTGTCATCCTTATTCATCGTCCAGCTCTTAGATGCTTAGCAAGTGCTTGAAAACACTATGGCCTGAATCAGGCACACCTTAATCTTTGACGGACAGTAAATGGAAGCTATATTATCCCCCTATGGAGGCATCTGTGGCTCAAAGCACAACAGTTTGCTTTTTTTAAAAAACCATCAGCTCAATTTTAACTCTTGGTGACTCCATGTGTATCGAAGGAGGACTGTGTCCCACAGGGTTGATCTTTCATAAGTGATGAGAAAGTTGTTGATGCAAAAGATTTTTCATAAGTGATGAAAGTTAGGATTTTTCCTAAGTGGATGGCCAACCTTTCCTCCAAGGAAGACTTGAACCTCCAACCTTTCAGGCACCACCCAGGGACATCTATGCTTCCCATTGTAGTTGTGTGTTGTCCAGTTGATGCCAATTTATAGCAATGCTCCAGGGCAGAGCAGAACTGGTCGCATGAGGTTTTCTAAGCTGTAGTCATCATGTGGGCAGATTGTAAATCTTGTCCGCCATGAGTCCATGGGGACTGCCTCGTGCTTAACCACTGTACCAGCAGGGACTCTGTGTGCTGCCCACTGGCTACCAAATTATTACCTGCATATCTGCGCTGAATCAGGGAGCCTCAGCTCCCCATCTGTGCCTCCGTTTCCCTGCTGTGTGTCTCCCACCATTTTTAATGTGCAGTCTGTGCAACTCTTACTCAATCCCTCGTGTTAACTTGTCTCTGCTCTTCCCACAGTGTGAAAGGAAACTGAAGAAGAAGGGGTCTCTGCCCCCAAAGTATGCCTTGGAGCTGCTAACCGTTTATGCCTGGGAGCAGGGCAGCGGGGAGACAAAGTTCAGCACCGCCGAAGGGTTCCGGACGGTCCTGGAGCTGGTCATCAAATACCAGCAGCTCTGCATCTTCTGGCTGGTCAACTACGACATGAAGGACGTGACTGTGAGGAAGTTCCTGCTGGCCCAGATCCGGAGACCCAGGTGCTCGGAGCCACGGCCCCCTGCCTTGTCAGTTAAGTTGTTATTGTTGTTTTGGGTGCTGTGTGTGGAGTCGACTAGGACGCATAGTGACCCTAAGAACAACAGACCTGAACCTTGCTCTGCCCTGTGCCATCTTCAGGGTCTCTGACAGGCCTGAGCCTGTTGTTACAGTCACTCTGTTGGTCCATCTCATTGAGGGTCTCCCTCTCTTCCTCTGATCCTCCACCCTTCCCAGCACAATGGCTTTCTCCAAGACCTGGCCACGCCAATCAGCTTGACTCCTTTCAAAGCTATGTCAGTGTCCTGGCCCCTTCTCTACTGGGTCACTATTCTTCCTGGATTTTCATGGCTGTCACCCCCTCAGAACAGTGCTCAGGTCTTTCGTTCATAGGGTCACTATGAATCATCTCCTACTCAATGGCACTTAACAACAATAACAATGATAACATAGACAGAGCTATGTTGACCTAGTGGACAGAAAGTGATGCTCCCAAGCCCAAGGTCGGTGATTTTAATCTGCGGCCCTCAAGCCTGGTTTAAATTGGTTTTTGTCAAACATTCTAAGTGGTATAGCACTGGTCTGTCCCTTTGCTGTACAGAGGTAACTCGTGGTTGCTGTGATGCTGAACACTGTGACACTGACGTGTCAAATGCAATCATGGTTACCCATGATGGACAGTGTTTGGTGGAGCTTCCTGATTAAAACAAGCTTGGAAGCAGGAGTGGCATCCACCTCAGAAATGGCCTGCCTCTGGGAACTCTATGAACAGTGCTCAGGTCTTTCATTCATATGGTTACTATGAGTCATCTACAACTCAGCGGCACTTAACAGTAACAACCCCCTCAGAGGTTAGGCAGTTCGGATGGCCTAGTGGTAAGAAGCTGGGCTGCAATCTCAAAGGTACCTGGTTCAAATCTACCTGTTGTTCTGTGGGAGAAAGACGGTCAATCTCTTCCCGTGTGATTTTCTGCCTCTGAAAACCCGCTGGAGGGGCAGCTATGAGTCGGTTCTGACTTGACAGCACACAATCACCCCCTCTCAGGAGCAGACTAGCAGGCTTCTCCTCCAAGACTCTTTGGGTGGATTTAAACTACCAACCTTATGATTAGTAGCCCAATGCTTAAAGGCTTGCACCACCCTGGGGCCTTCAGTTCTACCAGCAGGAGGCAAAAGCAGTGGAAGCAAGAAAAAAAGCAGAGTGCAAAGGGAAAAGGGAGGAAAGGTGAGTGGTTACAAGACCCCATAGTCCTGTTATCTGCAGGAGGTGCGACCCGGTTAAACTCATTATATTTGATTCTATTTTATGGCATCTTGGTTTAGGTGCATGCTGTTTGATTCTAAAGTCACTGGGTCTTTAAAGCATTGGGTTTCTAATGCACTGGGTCCCTGGGTCTCTAACGCCTTCTTTGAAACCCTCCTCTCCATTTAGGCCTGTGATCTTGGACCCCGCTGATCCTACGGGGGATGTGGGTGGAGGAACTCGCTGGAGCTGGCATCTTCTGGCCCAGGAAGCTCGAGTGTGGCTGTCTTCTCTCTGCTTCATAGAAGGCAATGGGTCTTCAGTGAAACCGTGGAATGTTCTGGTAAGAATCAAGGAAGTGTGCTCTGGAGACGGCCCCGAGAGGCTTACCTCAAAGAGCTTCCTCCTCCTCCCATTGCAACTTGGAACTCTTCCTACCACAAACAGTAGAAAGCCCGACTCGCAGAAGCTTAAGCCGTTGTTAGTGTTGTTTTCTCTCATGTTTCAAGAAGGGCTGAGATGCAGCTCAACTTAGCTTTCTGCATTGGACCCCTATTGTTTGGGGACCAAGAGTTCTTCATCCTGGGCTCTGCCTTGTGCATTGATGGATGTTAAACAGCATCCCTGATCTCCCCTCACTAGATACCCATTGCAATCCATTCTCCCAATGGGGGCAATCAAATATGTCTCCAGATATCACTAGATGTCCCTTGAGCTAATCTACAATCACGCTGGCTCGTTCTGTCTGGTGACTCCACCATATTCACTGATGACTTTGTCCTAGTGGGACCACAAGGTGGAAAATATCCAAGGATCTAGAGAAATCTCACAGCTGTCTGTACATTTCATTGCCCCAAACTGCCTGGAGAGAGAGCCCTGACTTAGATGCAGCTACAGGGAAGGAGGAGGGTGAAGACAGTGGCAGGAAGGACTTAGATCAACCGGCCCAAGGCACCTGCCAAACCTGGCCCGAGCCCCACATCTGACCTAGACATCTGACACCCAGTGTATTTGTTTAGAGCGAGCTTTCCCAACCTGGGCCCCTGTTGACATTTGGGGACCAGTCGCTGTTCTCTGGAGGCTGCTTTAGAAAGATGTTCCACACGTGATGGAATCTTTAGCAGCATCGCAAATCCCTACCCACTAGATGTCATTCAGGCGTCTTCCAATTACAAGCGTCCTCAGACGTTGCTGCATGTCCGCCTGGGAAGCAAAAAATCACCCCCTTGTTGAGAACCCATTGCTTCAAATGAACCACCTCTCTCTGGAGCCATTGCCACTTGCTGAGGTCTTCATTACCTAGAACCAGCTGATTCATTGTCATTGAGTCGATTCTAAGTCATAGAGACCTTGTAGGACAGAGTAGAACTACCCGAAAAGGTTCCAAAAGGAAAATCATATGGAAGGACATTCTCACATCCTTCTGAGGAGTGCCTGCTGGGTCTGTACCACCAACCTGTCAGTTAGCAGCCAAGCGCCTAATCACTGCACCACCAGGCCTCCTTCCTTATCTCCTGTTGCAGGCCAAGGGTAAAATAATTTTATAAATAACTAGACAGAACACCAAGAATGAGGGAGAAAACAGAGGTGAAGCAGGAGGCTAACAGTTCTCCAACAAGAACTGAAGCACTGACCTTAGCTTCCTTGGGTCTTTACTGAAAATTGCCAGAGAGCAAATTGCCAAGATAATTCAATGCAAATAAAGTTAAGCTCTTTCTATTGAAAACCTTCTGCTTGACTCAGGAGGGAGGGGTCAGCAAGAATCCTGTAAACAAGGATTGCCTTAGTGTCGACCCCTGTAAACAATTAAGGATCACCTTAGTGCTTCACGGTGAATTCCAGTTTGTATCAGCCTCCCTCATAACCTGAAGTAGCATTCCGTTTATTACAAATATTTAGGATGAAATTTGGCGTCCCATAATCTCCAGCATCCAAAACATCTTCCCTCTCCCAGACACAATTCTCTCGTTCCTTCCCAACTGTTTTAACCAATTCTTTCAGTTGCATAGAGAACATTGACTTGACCTCCATGGTTCTTTCTTCCCCAGACAGTGCAGACTCCGAGTAGCTGTGGAGCAGGAATATATTCCATTGTCAACTCTCATCCAGAGGTCATAGCATCCTGGAATAGCCGGAACTGGAGGTTCTGACAGGCGTCACCTTGCAGTTGCTTGTGAAGAACGTATGTGAGGTGTGGGGAAAGGAGCTTGGAGCCACGATCCACTTCTGGTCCCTGTTCTTCCCTTCCCTTCACTTCTTTGCTGTCTTTTGACATCAAGACTCCGAAATCCTGCCTCCAGTTCAAGGCCTGTGCTTGCTTCCACCTCGCTCTGCTATTGGTCTACTTTATTAAAAAGATTTGTTCTACTCTTGATTTATTAACACGTATTTTTGTCAGCCATTATGGTTTTGGGGTTTTTCGGTTTTGTTTTTTTACAATAAGCTCCTCCCTTCATTTCATCTTTGGAGAGGAATCCCTTCTGAGCTCCAAAGAGAAACTCGTCATGCGCACCTGGGGTTCCCTAAGTCACGTGCTTCTCTCCAAACTTCCTCCATCATCCAGCTCAGTCTCGTTCATTCCATACCCACAATCTGTCCATCCTAGAAGGTATGTAGGTCTCCCAAGTCAGTAGCCAGCCAACACTTTCCTCGTTGTTGTTGTTGTTAATTGCCAACAGGTTGGTTCCAGATGGAAACCCGCCCAATCCTGCACAGAGGATGGAACCCCGCCCAATCCTGCACAGAGGATGGAAACCCCGCCCAATCCCGCACAGAGGATGGAAACCCCGCCCAATCCCGCACAGAGGATGGAAACCCCGCCCAATCCTGCACATAGGATGGAAACCCCCGCCCAATCCTGCATCATCACTGGTTCCACCACTACACGGATCCAAGTCATTGAGAGGCTTCCTCTTCCTCAATGATCCCTCCATACGATTCTCAAGTTCTCCAAAAGCCTGAATTATGATTGTTACTTTATTGTCTGTCTGTCCCTATTCCTCGTGAGCGCGCCTCCTTTGCGCCCCTCTGCACCACCGCCCACCCACAAGTCTCTTCTTGCTAAACCTAAAAGCTTCCTCCTCTGATTTTAGCTTCAGAGATACATGAAGGTCTGACGTTTTAACCTCTTACTGTCAAGTCAGCTCCTCCTGTGTCCGAGGAGAGAGCTCTGTGTTCCCTAGGACTGTCACCAGACCACTGGACGCTTCTGGGTGAACTCACACTCCTGCCCTATCGGCTAGTGACCCAGCGTGTTCAACCACTTGTACCACTGAGAAACCCCTAACTTCATCTAATCCTCTTTAAAGTTTTTATTACCACTAAATCGCATATGCCAGTACTCTTTTTTATTTTTAGTAGTATATTTTATTATATAAAATACAAGCTCCAAATCCTTTTTATATTCCATTATATTGGGTATTCTTAATGGTTTTTTTTTCTTTCAGGTGCACCTTATAATCACTTTATCAAGGTTATTTCTCTTTTTCTTATGTTGAGGGTAGATTAGTTATTTTTTTAAAAAAATTATTTTACTAATTTTAATGAACATTTACAGAGATTTTGGATATCCATCCATTCATTGTTGTGCTTTTTTCTCTACTCCTTCCCTCACACCCCAGTTCACTCCTCTCTTTGAAAAGCAAAAGATAAACTTCATTGGTATACAATCCTCCCCCGCCCCGAATGCACTCCACTATGCAACCTTAATTCTGGATTCCTGTGATAATCGTAATACCCTATCATATATTGCTTTTGAACTGCTCTCTCCCTCATCTGCTTCAATTCAGTATACATAATCTATCCCATTTTTCTCAGTCTTACCCCAAACCTGATATCTGTCCCATTCTACAACAGTGGCACTATGCAGTATTTGTTTTTTTATGAGTGAGATATTTTACTTATATATGCCAGTACTCCTGACCAGGATAAGAGCAAAAGAAATAGGCATGTCTTGAGGTTGAAGGACCAAAGAATGACAGCCCTTGTTACACAGATACTCAGTCTACGGTTAGCTCTCAAATCCTTGCGTCGGCTACATCTCCTGCTTAGTTTGGTCAAACATCGTTCCCTGTGGGTTCTACACACTGGCTTAAGATGAGTCTCTACCAGAAAACACGGAGGCTTTTTTGCCTGGCCTACCCTGTGCCATCCTCACAATCTCTGACACACTCAAGAATAGTATAGCAAGCAACAAATGCTGGTGAGGTTGTGGAGAGACTGGAACCCTGATTCACTGTTGGTGGGAGTGTAAAATGGTACAACCACTGTGGAAGGAGGCGTGGCGCTTTCTCAAAAAGTTGCAAATAGAGATACCATTCGACCCAGCAATTCCACTACTGGGAATATACCCCAAAGAGACCATAACTGACATCCAAGCAGATATATGCACA